GTGTGTGTGTGTGTGTGTGTGTGTGTGTGTGTTCGTCTATCCAGATATTTCAACTCGGCAACCAAGCAAGCTGAGGGCACTGAAATTTTGTCAATGGGTTCCCTGACCAAGTGGGACCCTAAGAAAGTAATACTAACTTTCAATCATGTTTGCGCCTCTCACGCACGGACGCGTGAAAACTCTGTGAAATACAGTAAATTTAGGAGCCAGAAAAGCCAGAAGGCTAGAATTTTAGCAGGATTCTCCTCAGACATAAAAATCCAAATTCAATTTGGTATGCCTGGATTCGTTGAAGGCTTTATCACCGAATAAATTCACGATAATCATGCGTGCTGGAGGTTAAGATTTTACGTGGTCCTTGATGTAAAACTATCATGCCATCCGATGTTCTTTTCTCCTGGCATGCAAGAAAGGTGAGAGCGTGAATCCAAAGTAAATCCATGTGTTAAACTGTAAAGCAGCAGCCACTCATGCTGTTGATCTGACTGTTTCATGTTTAGCGTAAAAAGGCATAATCGCACTGGCAAGCTTGATGCATTGCTACCTGAATTTTTGACTCAGCTTTATTTCAAAATACCTCGTTTCGGTGAGATCGATGAAATCCGAGAAACGAGGATAACGAATGATTCGATTGAATCGTAGATACGGCATCGGCCGAAGAAGTGCTATCGATAAAATCAGATCAAATGGAAGTACACTTAAAATATCCAGCTTGAACTGCATTGATTTGAAATATAGCTTTCGGATTCGTGGAATGTCTCTCACAAGCAGTCCTTGTTCCAAAAATCCTGAAAAAAATTCAAAAATATGCGAAAGTCATAATACATAAACGTAAAAAGAGCAGGGAATGAAAAGTGTTCAAGTCTCATGACTGAATGTTAAGGAATTAACCTGTTCTAGAACGGACGAACATATCAAAAACATAGATACTATCCATTATGAAATCCACAACTACCCATGCAATCCAATAATATCCGGATGCGAGTTCATGAAAGACGGATCGCGCTGAACAAAAAAATCAAATTTTTTGTTGGATACTTGCAAAAGCTCTGTGGCAGCATTCCAGTAACATTTCTAGTAGGGGGTACTCCCAATGAAAACCCATTTTTGGTTATCTTTTTGACGCCAAGGCCTTAGTTTTTCTAATTTTCATTTTTTACCTTCCTTTTCCTTTTTTTCGCTTTCTTCCGTTCTTTTCTATTATAATTTTCTATTATATTTAAGATAGTAGAAGCAAGTCATATCTGTCCACCGTATTCAGCAGAAATCTCGTGCCCCAAGCAACTCAAGCAGCATTAATAGTGGTTAAAGCCTAGATCTAGGCTTAAACACAGATGTCTAACTCCAGGCCATTACTTTCCTAATTTTTCCAGAAGCATATTCCTTCTCAATAACTTTGGAGTACAATAATGTTCTTTTTTTAGTGCAAATACTTTATTCCTTTTATTCGCCCAATTTTTTGTCCTTTCTCAAAAACTTTCTCGCACTTTTTTCCCCGTCTAAAAATATTTTTACTTAGTTTTTTCCTCAACTTTTGTTTTCAAAAGTTTTTTAAAAATTTCCATCCCAAATTGTCGATTTTACCGCTTTCCATTTGCAGTAGCTCACAAGCCTGTTTTCTGCCCGGATGTGCCCTCGTGCAAACACGTATTTTTGGAAGCACTTACCAATGACAACAATTAGATTATAGGCAAATGCGCACGATAAAGTGCCCAGCCAGTAGTAATAAAACTCGTCTTTTGTATCCAATACCCATTTTTTGCGAAAATATTGCCATTTTGTCTCAGTCACAGGAATTGCCTCGTCCACTGCCTGAGCTTTCCTGGATAATGGTGTGATGGTGACTGGAGCTGGACTGGCAGTGGGAGCTGGCTGAACTTTCTGTTGGTTCTTTTCCTCCGGATCAGGGGGTGGTAAAGCATTTGCTGTTGCTGCTGGCTCATGAACTGAGTTTTCCTTCTTATCGATACTGAACACCTTGTTATGCCGCACCAATTTGCTACTCTGAAAAATATAAAAATATCGCCTAAATGGCCGAGAATCATTGAGGCACTGAACCAAACGAACCATATCCATCTCTTCCAAAGCACTGCGTTGAAGGCAATGATGTTAAACTCGACCCTTCTCGTTTCTAGTTGCAACGAGAAACAAAGGCATCCAGTTCATTTTTCTTTGTGCTGATCTGTTGCTCTGTACTGCTGTCTCAAAGACATTCAGAATTAGCTCGAACAGTAGCAACCTTCAGCAACGATCGCCCTGACGAGACATTGATGCCCCCCACTTTGAAGATTGCTTAGAAGGATGCTGTTAGCGGATCTGACTTTTGGTATATGCTAGTATCAATCTATCATCGAAACGAATGAAAAAATCGTAAAAGGACTAGTCGTCTTGTCGACGGAATCGAACCTTCTCTTTACTCTTATATTTTTCAAAACAAAACTGGGTTCTATTCAAGATTTTTCTCCTTCCAGCTTATTCATGTTGCGCTAAATGGTCTGTATGTAGAATGTCGTTGCCACCAGATGAGAAAGTAAAACCCGACAAGCAAGGTATTTTGCTCGCCTTATCGACAGCCGGCAAACGTTGTTCATTAGTTAAGCAATGCTCGCAAGAAAGTAAACGACCAATCGGGTGTCTTCCTAAGAGATGGCGCATGCAGATGTAGAATAGACTGTGAACACTTCAGGATCAATGGGCTTGGCCCGTTTGCATCCCAGTACTATCAGTAACGAGCAATTTTGGGTACTCTTGATCCTGCTGTATGCTTTTAGCTCTAAGCTCTGATATGTGGAATAAAGCGCAGCACGTTTTTAGCTTAGCAAAGAGTTGGAATGCCCACGTTAGATTTCATGACTTCTCGTGCTTCCATAACTTTGAATATTACAAAGTAAGTAATATTTAGAGTTATGCAAGCACGAGTTCGTCATTTTAACAAAGATAATGCTACTGGATTGCCATTTTAACAAAAATTTCAAGAAATTTGTCATTATTTTCGATCTACCTTGGATGTTCTTCTCGAGTTACAACTCGCTGAGTCAGTTTGCTTTGGAGTTGCTGAATTTTCCGGCAGACTAGATGCTTTTGCTAAACCGACTAAGCCGTTGTTCCTGCTTCCAGCCAGTGACAAGGTGCTGATTCCATCTGACAAATCCTGAAAGAGAACTGGCGTGTACGGTCATATGATTCCGTCACGCATGGTATCATCGAAAACAGTCATTTCGATGGTAAACTGGTACTACAGCATGTCTAGAAAGTCAATCTTGCTATCAACCTTCTTATAAACAACTTTCAAGAGAGTGAGCTATCGACAGCTTTGTCAATGTTTGATTACTTTTGGCATGGGCTTTTGCTCAGGATGGATTCGTTTCTTTCTCTCCCCATAAGATACGGGGAGAGGTTTTAACTTTGACATTCTGTAATGATTGCGAAATGTTAAGACCGAGATACTGGATCAAAACACTACTACAAATACCGAAGAACACATCGTACAGCAGTCTATGTTTCATCCCTTAGCTGTAAATAAGAACAGAGCTTTAGGAGTGGGAATGATCAGTACAGGCTTCTACCTGCTGCGTACAAGTTGTAAATGTATAAATAAAACTGGTGTAATGAATGTACGAGCATAAAGCAGAAATGCTAAATAGTGATGCTGTTCCTGCTTGAATGAGCCAATTTACCCGATGACTTCATCCCGGAAACCGAAAGCTTTTGTGAAATTAAGTTTTAAATAACCAAGGAGTTCACTCACGCAATTCGGGGAGACAGGGATTAACGGCTGTTAACAAATGTGAAAAAAGTAAGGTACATGGGTGTATTTGAATAGTTTTACAAAAACATTTAATGAAAACTTGACGATTTAGCTTGAGAAATTTCAATAAGTTATCTTATATGGAGTATCTATAACGGGATTTGGACCTGTACGGATCACAAGGATGGAAAACTCGGGTTTTGGGGATACAGCTGGTTCAAATGTTCTTATGACCCCTTCAGCTATCTGACTTACGTGAACTCGCAGAATCTTCAGGGTCCCCTCAAAAAAACGCTCATTTTAATGCTAAAACGTTCTTTAATGCACATTTTTCCCTTCAGAACTAATGAATATGCA